ACCAGATACAGTAAATCAACTTTTAATTCTTCAAGCATCATTCTTTTTTCTTTTTTAATGCAGCTTTTAAGGTTTCACTGCAGTATCTTCAGATCTTTCAGTAGCATTCAAAAATAGCATTTTAAGTCAACCCTGTAACCCTATAATCTTATTTCCTATTTTCCTCACTGCATGCCATGAAAATCTGAAATTTATATGGAACTATTCTGAATGTTTATCACAGTATGATTTTTTTTAATTATTGTGAACACAGACTGACATTACGGTTCCCACAGGATTAATTCATTTACCTCTTAGGTTGGAGTACTAACAACGAGATTTCACCATTATGAACAGTCACTGAACAATCTATAAGATCAAAGGTATAGCATCTTGGTCTCCTAAATAAACAATCCACGATCCAGTTAATTCCATATTTCAAGCTCCCTTCAGGGGATTAATGTTGGTTCGTAGTGCACTAGAATATATTTGCTCAACTATTTGTTGGTAAGACTTAATGCCCATGTTGACTTGATTTCTTCCAGGATGTTACTGCCTGCTGATCCTATCATTTCCCTAACCTGCTGCCATCCAGTTATTATAGGATTACCACTCAGGCAGGCAACCAAGCAAGTACATTTAGAATGTGTATTTCCTGACTTTCCTCCAGGGAGATCAAGAGGGTTATATGATTCTCTCCCCCACTCATCCCCCCCCTTTTTAGTTTAAGCTTAGTCATTATGTGGGAATTTAAACTGACTTGCTTGTGCATTTAGTGAAATCTCAGCAGTGCTTATAAGTTAATATCAAGCTCTAAATTCCCTCTAATTCCTTCTATTAGCTAATCACTGCTTTTTTGATTAATTTTCACAGAAAATTCACCATCCTCAGCTCTACTTTTAAGTACATTGTAATGACTTGGGTAAAGAAATCACTGTTAAAGTGCCTTGCTTTGTGGGGGGGGGGGGAATACAAAGATATTCCACCTATTTCACACACAATCCATATCTTTCATACCAAAGCAGCATTCGCTAAATGCCTTCATTCAGGGAAGGAGTGAAATAGGAAGAACCCTGCTTGTATGTAGATAGCTTTACACTGTATGTGCTGAAAGATGTAGTGCTGACAAAACCTCCTCCCTTTATTTTCTTTATACCTTTTTATGGATAGATTTCATTTTTTTTTTTTTTGACCTCTGCATATCTATTCAGTAGAGGGCTGTTTTGAAAATGAAATGAGTCAAGCCTGGAGACGTGTCGTATCCATCCCTCTCTTCTGTTATCTGATAGTAAAAACTCTTTAATGCAGGTGCTATTTTCTCTACATTTGGTTTTCTCTTAGGAATGCAAATTATTTGCCCAGAAATTTTTCTATTTCTGATCTGTGGGTCGCACGAAGAAGGGAGAGGGAAATCCCCCCCCCAAAAAAAACCCCAGCATCTGAGTAGCACAGAATACAGATTGGAGAGATGATAAAATTGGGCCCCGTAAAAGGGCAAGGCTGGCAGGCTGATTGATTAGAATCACTAGACTGTAATAGGCTGTTGCAGGTCTAACTCTTAAGAATGAGAGGGGGAAAAAAAAGAATTGCAAAGGAACAATGGTGGGAAATGACTGGCAATCTATAATGGTCTATGGCCATTATAAATGATTGACTGATTGACAATGGCAATCCTTGTCTCACATTTTGTCAGCATTGCTTTAAAAGAATGATCTTTTCTTACAACCCCAATAAAGATCTTTAATGCATGTATGACTTTTATTGAATCAGTTCTAAAGTAGTGGAGGAATATACAGTAGGCTTTTTTGACCACCATGCCCTCTGTGTTTAATTTTCTTTCTTTCAAGATCACCATAAAATTGAAATTTCAGAATAAAAAAAGATTAGCAGACCTTTCATTTGGTTCCTTAATGCATTTTAATGGCAACAATTTTGCTACCATCATAGGGTCCTGTTTTCATTCAAGATGTTATCTCCTTTTTGCTGTGTACGCCTTCACTTCATAATTTGCAACATTACTATAAAATCTGACATAATCGTGATATCCAGAAAATGCTGTAGGTATTTCTCTCAAACTAGGCAAAATAAATGGGAACAAATAATCCCCCCAAAAGGTATAGCTAATAAGATTTAGAAATTCATTTAAAATAAAACAGTGGAAAAACAATTTGAGTTTAAAAATCCAGTAAACATATCAGAATCCTTCCTTTTGGAGGAAAATGGGATTAAAAAGGAACTTGAGCAAGTTGAGGCCATATCATTTTAATGTATTTATTTATTTAGCTAATTAACTTAAAGGGACAATTGAAGCAAACAGCAATGACAAGAAATGAAGTTCTAGATCTTATGATAAATTACCATTGTCAAATCCCCATGGATTCTATCCAAGGATTCTCAGCTTGAATGTGTAATTGCTATAGGCACACACTTAATTGCTTTGCTGTTTACAAGGAATGATAGTCCATTGTTTGAGAAATGCTGGTTTGTGACGTTTACTTCTGCCCTTAGAGCCACCTTTTGCAGAACCTCTGCTGTACCTTCTAATTGAAATTAGGCCATTATCCTGCTCTCCTGCTATGTATTTTCTGGCTGCTGAGACAGAAGCTGGATCAACACAGAGAGTCAGCCAAACTATGCAAAAAGGTAAGAAATAGGGTTGGCAATGAGACAGTATCCTGGTACATCACTCTGAGGGCAGCAGGTATAGAGCAGGCAAGAAACCAGGTTACTTAGGCATGAAAGCCAACTGGATGAACTTGGGCCAGTTATCCTCTCTTAGCCCAACCCACCTCACAGGATTGTTGTGGAGAAAATAGGAGGAAGGAGGAGTGTTAGGCATACTTGCACCACCCAAAGTTTTTTGTAAAAAAAATATTAATGGTGGGATAAAAACAAAATGAAAAATAAAGCAAGCTATATAGAACCTAGGATGCTCTCTGTCACCAACCATCCTTTGGACACACATGCAAAACAAACACTCTCTTGCCATTTTTTCTAAGAATGTCTCCAGGATATAATAGCCAAGCAGCATTATTAAACATTGAGTTTATCTTTTATTTTTTTTTAAAAAAAAAAAGTCTTCAAAAATCATGTACAGCATGGAAATTGGTTGGTTATACAAGTATATTGGTATCGATGTTCTTTTATGAGTTCTTTAGATTGTCACCTGTGTTAATTTAGATCAGAGTTTCTCAGCCTCAGGAACCTTTTAAGATATGTGGACTTCGACACTAGAGGATAACTAGCCAGCATGCTAGTTGAGGAATTCTGGGAGTTGAAGTCCACACATCCTAAGGTTGCTGTGTTTGAGAAATACTGATTTTGATGAACACGAACCTTTCCCCCTTCCTTCCACTGTCATTCTATTCTCCACACCTACTTCTAAATTCTTAAATAGGCAAATAATGAAGTAAAATGGACCAATGGGGGGGGGGAGGGGGAGGAATAGTCCATATAGTTTCACACCTTAGGTGTTAAGTGTAGCCTCTGGACCACCAGAAGGAAATGCAGTTTGATTCGTCAACTGTTTCTAATTTTATTGTGGAAAAAGACAATATGTTTTGTGTGTCTGTATGTGTAATCCCATCTAAGTCTGCCCTGAATACTCACTCTGGCTCTTCCCACTGTCCTTACACCTATCCATCTCTTGGGCAGGGATGTGCAACCAATACCTTGCCTAATGCTCTCTGCAAGAAAGCAATCCAAGAGCTTTATAGCAAGAGAGACCTGCTCCTGCCTGCTGCCGAGGAGGCATTGTGAGACAGCACAAAACAGACCAGAGAATGTCAGAAGGGGGTGGGAAAATGGGTCTCAGAATAGAACAGCATTTTGGACTCTGCCCAGCCCACTGCTGGTGTCCAAAAGTCCTTTCATCAATAAATCTGTACGGATTACCCCTACTGATTCTTCCCCCAAAACTGCTGCTTTGATCAACTGTCTCCCTGATTTTCAAGTCTTCGGAGGTGACTGGCCTTTGCTGTCAAAGAAAACAGGACCATAAGGATGTGGGGGAAAAAAGAGCTCCTCTATCACGACGAAGGCCTCTAGTTCAATCAGAGACAACCTCCGTAGCCCTTCCAAGACCAGTTCGTAGGCAAGAAGAAGGGACTGTTGCCATATGCCTAATTCAGGGGTAAGCAGCCTTGGCTCTTTTATGACTCGTGGACTTCAACTCCCAGAATTCCTGAGCCAGCCATGCTGAAGAGAAAGGGAGAGGTTTCCATGCTGAGCCATGTTGGCTCAGGAATTCTGGGAGTTGAAGTCCACGAGTCATAAAAGAGCCAAGGTTGCCTACCCCTGACCTAATTCAATTGCGAGCTTCCCCGCAAGGAAGCCCAAGTTGGCATGCTGGAAGCACAAGGCTAGGCTTGCCAGACTAACCTCTGATCTCCTGATCTGTTTGTGCAGCCAACCCCCCCCCCCCGCGCAGTACCCGGGGAAACAGGCGAAAGATCGGATTGCGCGTTGCCCACGAGAAAGGTCTCCTCGGGCTCCAGACCGTTGGCGAGGAATTGCGCTTGCAACAGTTAGACGCGTTGCAAAAGCGCAGGATTTCTTCTGAAGCCCCGAGGAAGAGCTTCGCCGCCTAAGCCCTTAGCCACGCATTCGACTTCTAGATCCATTCCACGTCGGCCCGCGAGTTCCTCCTTCCAGAACAGCTGGCTTTGGCCTGTTTTGGCTGGGCCCCTTGGGTCAAGGCAGCGGGTTCATGCCCAAAGCCATCTCTTAGGCGGCTGGTGGAACTGTGTCTCCATTTCTGTGGGGATGGGGCCTGGGCCTGGGGTGCTCCATGTGGCTTGGCCAACCTTTCCCAACTTCCTAGACGTTCCTAACCTCCCAGTATGGCTCCTGAAGGAAGGCTATTTCTAGCCATGTAAGTTATATCTGACTCCGGAGCGCGCCTGTCTGTGATTCGCTTCCTTTTACTATTGGAACACGGCCGTTTCCCATCACTTCAGGGCAACTCATCTTTGCTCGCTCCCTTTGCAGCCGTTTCTTCCTTTTTTCGCCTCTTCCTTTCCCTCCTTCCCCACTTTTAAGTGGGAAGTTATTTCGAAGAGTAGTTTGGAAAGAGAGAAGGGGGAAAAAAAAAAAAGAGAAAATATCCTGCAGGCATAAAAGCACCGTTAAGATTTCCTTCTCGCGCGCTTTGGGTAACTTCCTCGGTCGTGTTTGGCCCGCGCCTAATCCGGTTACTTCCCCTGAAAGGGTTAACTCTCCCCGCTACTTTCGAAGCACCTGTTTCTTTAGCTTGCAGAAAACCGGCCAGACTCGGCTGGATCAATATTTGCATTTCCGTATAGGAAAACACTAACCCTAATCCATTTAATAAGGACGGTTGGCGATTCCATTAGCAAATTGTGCGCGGAAAAGCATCAACTATGAACGGGTTTCCCAGCTCGGTTTTCGCTTTGTTCGCAACCGTTTGCCTGTGCGCGGGTTCCTGCGATGGAGGGCGAACGCGGGTGAGTGGTTTTGTTCCGACGAGACAGGCAAAGCAACCGACGAGTTTGTGCATTTAAAAAAAAAAAAAAAAATTAACACGTGGAGAGAGAGGAGGTCACCCCACCCTGGGACCTTTTAATCCAGCTCCACTCCTCCTCTCCTTGCTTTTTCTTCCAGGAACAAAGCAAGACCCATGATTCATAACAGCCAGAACAATCTCAGCGGGTCAAATGGGAAACGTGGCCAATAACGCTCTTCCGATTGTCCCCATTTCATTAAGGTAATGGGAAGCGCCGGGGCACCCAGCCCCCCCTCTGCGTCAGCAACAGCAGCTGGGGGATCTGGTAGGCTGCCGGTGGCCGAAGCTGCGGAGACATTTCCCAGCGGATCCTGCCCCCCCCCCCGCCGCCCACCACGATTGATCACCGAGCGTCCCCCTTCCGCTGCTGCCTCTCCGCCGACACGCGCTGCGCTCGGGGTTGCCGGCAAAGTTGTCTCTTGCTCCTTTCCGGCGGCTGCTTAGGCTCGGAGCCCCCTCGCACCCCGGCGCGCCTGCCAGCCCGGAGAGGATCGAGGCTCCTTCCCGTGCCCGGCAGAGGCGGGAGCAGGGCGCCGACGGCAGGAGCCGCTGTGTGGGCAGCATGCAGCTGTGCCGGGGCCGCGCGTTGGGCATCTCCGTGGCGGTGGCGCACGGGGTTTTCTCCGGCTCGCTCAACATCCTGCTGAAGTTTCTCCTCAACCGCTACCACTTCACCTTCCTGACGGTGCTGCAGTGCCTGACCAGCTCCACGGCGGCGCTCAGCCTGGAGGTGCTGCGGCGGCGGGGCGCCCTGGAAATGCCGCCCTTCAGCTTCAGCCTGGGGCGCGCCTTCGCGGGGGCCACGGTCCTCTCCACGCTGCAGTCCAGCCTCACCCTCTGGTCCCTGCGCGGGCTCAGCCTGCCCATGTATGTGGTCTTCAAGCGCTGCCTGCCCCTCGTCACCCTCCTCATCGGCGTCCTGGTGCTCAAGAACGGCGTCCCCTCCCTCGGGGTGTCGGTGGCCGTCCTGATCACCACCTGCGGGGCTGCTCTGGCAGGTGAGTCCGAGCCACAGGAAGAGGCTCCACGCGGCTCCTCCTTGCCCCAGGAATCTCGCAAGTCCTGCTCAGTTCCCGTCTGCCCTGCCTCCTTCCCCTCCCTGTTGCCCCTCCATAACCCCCCTTCCTGTCATTCTTTTCATACTTGCTCCCACCCCAAACTTTGGCATGCACACCTCACCTTCCATCTCATCTCTCTCAGCTCCACTAGCACCCCCACCCTGCGCTCCAATTCCCTCTTGGGTCTTCATTTGCCTTCCCTTTCCCCTGCTCCCACCAGTCATGTCCTGCTCCTTCCAGGTTTCCTTGGTTTATTATTCCGCTCCTAGGGGACTCTAAACCTACCACCTCCTAGTTGTTGTGTTCAACCAGAAATACTCTTCTTTCCCCATCCCATTCATTTTTCCAGACTGTCTTCTCGTAGTTCCCCATCTTTGCATCCTGGTGTCCTTTCTTGTGTGTTGTTTTAAATTCTTTTCCAGTCCTGTCAGGATATGTGCTCTTTACACTACATGTTTTAGTCCAGTGGTTCTCAACCTGTGGGTCGGGACCCCATTTGGGGTCGAACAACCATTTCACGGGGGTCGCCAAACAACGCAGTCCGCCATTTTTTCCCCCTTTTCCTTAGCTGTGCTACTCCCTTTTATTCTATTGGCTTTTGAAAGCCAATAGAATAGACTCTCTTGAATAGAGTCTAATTCTATTGGCTTTCAAAAGCCAATAGGAATTGTCCAGGCTGTCTGCCCTGCTGAGCCCGCCAAAAGTCCCATTCTGCAAACAGTGCTGCACCAGTTGAGTAGTCATCGATTTACGACTGGTTGTGGGTCGCGGCATTAAAAAGGTTGAGAACCACTGTTTTAGTCCTTTTTCTCACCTAATTCCACCCCCCCCCACACACACATAGACACCTTACAGCCTCCGTTCTACACATTCTAAGGCTTTGACTAGTACTTTGGGATGTGAAAAGCAAACCATTGAAGTCCTAATCTTTGCTTTGCCCCATCATGCTTTCTCCCAGGCGACATACAATTAACAGAGTCTTTTTTTTGTCTCCCCCATATTCTGCTGACCAGACTTCAGGTCTTCTGATACCTGCCATTTCCTAAGTATTGCACTACACATTAGAAGGCACAAATTTATATGTTTGGAACCAAATGCGAGGGGCAGGTATTCAGGCAATTCAGTTACTGGCTCCTGGCAAATATAGATGCTTAATATAAACAGCTGTGTGCACAAACCTAAAAGTAAAGTACCTTCCCTCCTTCTATAGCCTTAAATGTATCCTGGCTGAAAATGCAATAATGCACTGTGTGAAGCTGTCCCATTTCTAACCTTAGTTTGGCTGTGCTAGTTTCTGTCTTTGATTCTACCCCAGCTCACAGCACACTTCCTCTGTCTTCCAATAATTAAAGTTTATGGGGTTCTCATGTGCTTTTTCTCCCATGATAAATGCTCATTGACCCTTCGGCTTATGAAGGCTGAAGCAGTCACATGTTTTCCCCACCCCTGTGCACTAACAGGTATCTTTATCAACAAACAAAAAATGTATACAGGTGGGTATAACAACTTTTAATTCATAACAAAATATACTTTTCCATATTTCCCACACATAACAGTAGCAGTTATGGACTATAGTGATTCTTATCCTTCATGGATATTATTTTTGTTCAGAGGAGCTGATACTTGAAGTGGTCCAGCTGGTTTTTTTTCCCCAATTCTGCTTTTTCCCTTTTCCAGCCTCCTGTTAGCTGCCTAACTTCTTCTGTCACATACAAGCTCTTGCCAAAGGTGCAAAGAAACTTGTGAAAAGCTGCATCATGGATCTCCTGGGCAGTCCCATTGCTTCTATAATCTATAATTAAAGTCTATTATCATCACCTTAATAGAAGGGGGGCAGGGAGGAAGGAAGGAAGGAAGGAAGGAAGTAATAATAATAATAATAATAATAATAATAATAATAATAATGACAAAAAAGTCTGGATAGTGAACGTGGCAGCGCCTGGAGACAGCAGAATAGATGAGAAAGAACCGGAGAAGATAACAAAATACAAAGACTTACAAATAAAAATAGAAAGACGGTGGCAAAAGCAAGCAAGGGTAATACCAATAGTCATAGGCACCTTGGGTGCAATCCCAAAACAACTGGAGCACCACTTAAACACCATTGGCATTGACAAATTCGCCATTAGTCAATTGCAAAAGGCGGCCTTACTTGGAACTGCTTCCATCCTGCGACGATATCTGTAATACCATCAAACATCCACATCTGCCTATCCCAGGTCCTTGGTAAGGACTCGATAGGTAGACAAAAATGCCACATCCAGTCTGAACATCTGGCTGACTGTGCGATGATCAATAATAATAATAATAATAACGATGATGATGATGATGATGTTGGAAGGGACGTTGGAGGTCATCTAGTCCAACCCCCTGCTCAGGCAGGAAACCCTATACCATTTCAGACAAATGGTTGTCCAGTCTCTTCTTAAAAACTTCCAGTGTTGGAGCATTCACCACTTCTGGAGGCAGGTTGTTCCACTGGCTAATTGTTCTAACTGAATGTATTCTAACTGTTCAGTTATATTCTAACTGAATGTAACTAATTGTTCTAACTCAGCGTTTCTCAACGTTTGTGTGACGGCGACCCCGTCACACGAATGTGCTGCGCATGCGCAGCGCTGCGCGCATGCGCGGCAGCGCCCCCTGAGGGGGGAAAATGGCAGATCGCATTGTTTGGCGACCCACATAAAATGGTCGATCGACCCCAAATGGGGTCGCGACCCATAGGTTGAGAACCGCTGTTCTAACTAATTTCTCCTTAGTTCTAGGTTGCTTCTCTCCTTGGCTAGTTTCCATCCGTTGCTTCTTGTCCTGCGTTCAGGCGCTTTGGAGAATAGCTTGACTCCCTCTTCTAGTAATTGCATTACCAGAGTTTCTGGTGTGCTTTTGTAGTGAGGGGGGTGAGGGATTGAGACATACAGTAATGTTAAAATCTTGGTTTGATGGCCCATTGCTTTTAGGTAGACATAAAAAATATTCTGAGTTGAATATAAATGAATAAAATGTTCATGCAGTTCTAAGTGACATTCTCTTGTGATTATTATCATTATTAAAAGAGGGTTCATATTTATTTTCTACTGGGGATACAAGATTTTTGCTTGTGATACAAGGTCTTTGTAAATATTAAGGTTGAGTCTACATGCTCTCAGTGGCATTGTTTTCACAACTGTTCTAAAAGAATGTTATTATTTTAATGTATTTATATATTTTTTAAAAAATCAGAAAAGGAAAGAAACAAAAGAGACATTTTCATTTTTGAAGCTCTTTTTATGCTTAGGGTTGTTTTTTTTTTTTTTGGTATGTGTTATCTATGGATATGCCGCTATGCTTCCATAGAAATATCCAGCAATGAGAACTATTTGAAATAGCTCTCCGGGTACAATTGTGAACATCTTTTTGTATTACTGAGATTATCCATGCTGTCTTTTTATATATATATTTTTTCCATACAGCAATAGCAAAAATGTCCTGATTTTGCCTCTAACTTTGATTCTGTCTCTCTAGTTTGATAATTCTACCAAATAAAGAGAGTGGAACCTTGCCACTTCAAGAAAATTCTGCTCATTCTTATGCTTTAATTCTTAATTACAGTCATAGGAACATAATAGCCATGTTGGATCAGATCAAAGAGCCAATCTGGTCCAAAATTCTGTTTCCATAGTAGCCAACCAGCTGCTTCTGGGGCCATCACAAATAGGACATGTGGCCAATAGTCCCCTCTTGTTATTTCTTAGCAGCTGGTATTCAGAAATGCTGCCTCTGATACGAAAAGCATTTTATAGTAATTATGACTATAGCTATCTTAGTTATTCTATAGTTAGTTTGGATTGATTTTAAGCAGCTTTTTAAAAACACCGCTCCCCCTTACTGAATTTTTCTATTGTTTTTAATATTTAATATTAAAGCAATGGTGTTTGATTAGTTTTGGATTTGAATTATTATTGTTATTATTGACTGAGAACAACAGAGAAAATTGTATGTCTAATACCCCCAAAAAGAGAGAGAATCATCTTTACATCTTATGGTAGTTTAACTTTGGAAAGTTGATGAAAATCTCCCCTTTATCTGACCTTAATTTCCCAGTACTTTCTTCTGTTGGATAACAGCACCAGAGAGAGAAAAAATCATCCTTATTGTGCAGACACTCCTAAGTTGAATTTTCCTGCAAATCATTGGAACAATAAAATTAATTAAAGACCCTATGTTAATTAAAGATGATCTTAAGCAATACTTGTGAAATTTGTACAGATAAGCTTTGCCTGATTCTGGGCTTCCAACAATACTTTAAGAATATTATCCCCAAAAGTTGGACTAAGGCAGGGTTCTTCAAACTTGGCCTTTTTATGACTTGTGAACTTCAACTCCCAGAATTCCTCAGCCAGGCATGCTGGCTAAGGAATTCTGGGAGCTGAAGCCCACAAGTCATAAAAGGGCCAAGTTTGAAGACCTCTGGACTAAGGTAAAATGCAACAAAATTAATACCCACAATACTAACCCTTATCCAGGCAGTCGCTGCTGTGCCTCCATCTAACATTCTTAAACCATACATAGTTTACCACTCAAAATAAATCCTAATTGTTATTAGCTCTGCAAGATTAAATTATCTGTCTAAGAATGGACTCAGCTTCAAAATCTGGTTTCTATAATTGATGATGGTGCTCATCTATTCGTTTTTTGAGTTTGAACCAGTCTAGTGCTGATAGGTGTGTAAGAGAGTTGTTCATTTTGGATTCTCTTTACTCATGCTGTGCCTTATTTCAGGTTATCAGTAGATGATGAATGGTTGTCAGTAAGTAGAATTAGATTAGGTGGTTTTGTTATCCTATAGATCTTTTTAACAAACATTTCCATTATCACTGGTCTTTGCAGTGTCTACATTGACTAAGAATGTTTGGAACTGTAATCACCAAAAGAAAGTTTTACTGCCTTTCCTGAAACTAGATAAATAAATCAGTCCAGGAATGTAAGGCTTCCCTTATCAGATTTGTTCAAAACTTTCCTAGTTCAACTTTTTTTCCAACATTGGCCAGATACGATTATTTACAAGCAATTCCCAAGTAAATTGATGATAGCTCTTCTTAGCAGTTTATTCCATGTATCCTAAAATGCTTGTCGCCAATACATAGCCCATCTTCTGTTGATGTAGTTCATATAACAGTGACAACGTATATTTCAAGGGTATGTAAATTGTCTCTCTCTTTCTTTCAAAATTGGCAGGTGCTGGTGATCTGACTGGTGATCCCATTGGGTATGTGACTGGAGTTCTGGCTGTGTTGGTACATGCAGGATATTTGGTTGTGATTCAAAAGATGAGTTCAGATAGTGACTACGGGCCTCTGACAGCCCAGTATGCCATTGCGGTTTCAGCCACACCTTTTCTCATCTTATTCACCTTTGTCAGCATGGAAGCTATCAATATCTGGTCATTCCCAGGATGGAAAGATCCCCTCATGACATTCATCTTTTTTGCCTGTGTCTTATTGGGCTGTGCTATGAATTTTACAACCCTTCATTGCACTTACATTAACTCAGCTGTCACCACTAGTTTTGTTGGCGTTGTGAAGAGCATTGCAACCATCACGGTTGGTATGGTAGCATTCAATGATGTGGAGCCAACGAAGCTGTTTATAGCAGGCGTGGTGGTGAACACGGTAGGATCCATCACGTATTGTGTGGTGAAGTTTATTGAGACAAGAAAACAGAGTAATTATGAAGATCTGGAAGAGGAACTTAGAGAAGAAGAGAAGAAAGACTGTGATGGAGGCCAACCACCCTTTTCAATGGAGGAGATGCCCAAGGAGGCAGAATCTGCAGATCCAATAATAAAGGAGTCAGCAGATGAAAAAAAACAGCATAGCACAGAAGAGACGGGCAGCACTGGAGAAGAAGGAAATGCTGCTGCTGTTCCAATAGATGGTAGTACTGAAGAACTTAACAGAAACTCACTAAAGAATGCCTATCTTGGAATATGGAGGTTAATTAGGGGAGCCAATTATGCAAAGAAAGATTATCTAGTAGAAAATGAAGAGTTACCAAGTCCTTGAAGAATAATTCTGTAATTCTAATCAAGAATCAGTGTCTTTTATTCCTTGTGGTGGGAATATGGATCAACAAATGCGTTCATACATTCATAAAAAAAAAGCTTAATGGTTTAATGGAGAAATGTTACCTCATTCTAATGAAACAAAAGCACCAGGTTCATGCTTAGATTCATTGAATTTTCATTTTTCAGGGTACATACCGTATATGCCAGCGTACAAGGTGACCCAGCGTATAAGACAACCCCCGTCTTTGGCGCCGAGTCGCATTCCTAGAACGTCGTCTTATACGCCGGAAACTACCAGTATTTCCGGCATATAAGACGACTCGGCATATAAGACGACCCCCGTCTTTGGCGCCGATTTTAACGCTTGCGGAAGTCGCCTTATACGCCGGCATATATGGTACCTTTGATTTCAGATCAGGACCAATAAAGCAGACATCTTATATTGGAAATCCTAGTTTTATATCCATAGAAGTCAGCTGTATAAGATTTACAGGTCCCTCCATGAATGCTTCTGGAAGCCTTAATATAATTGTTCGAAAATGTTTAATGCCATAAACAAAAGCTAAAGTTATTGTTTCTATTTAGTGCAAAAGAAGAAAATACTAGGTTTCATGTGATCTGTAAGTTAAACAAGTGGGAAATGGGGAAAAAAATAACTGCCAGACTGGATAGATGTACATATTATTGAGGATTGGTGGGCTACCTTTACCACAAATGAACGGAAGTCAAATCATAAGATTCTGCTGAAAATTCTATACCATCCATTTTAAATTCTACCTCTCTAAAATTGGTTGAATATTTGTGAATATAAACATACATAAAGAAGCATATTTATTACCACACAGTGTATAGACCAGTGGTTCTCAACCTTTTTAATGCTGCGACCCCCAAATGGTCGTAAGTCGAGGATTACTCAACTGGTGCAGCACTGTTTGCAGAATGGGACTTTTGGTGGGCTCAGCAGGGCAGAGACAGCTTGGACAATTCCTATTGGCTTTTGAAAGCCAATAGAATTAGACTCTATTCAAGAGAATCTATTCGGCTTTCAAAAGCCAATAGAATAAAAGGGAGTAGCACAGCTAAGGAAAAGGGGAAAAAATGGTGGTTCGACCCCAAATGGGGTCCCGACCTACAGGTTGAGAACCACTGGTATAGACTGAGGTACAGTGCTTCTGAACTTGGAGATTGCATCTAGAGGTGTCCTGCTAAATGTATGTAATGCCTTTTAGATCAGGGTTTTTCAACCTTTTCACCAATTGTACCACTTTTAGGATATGGCAATATTTGAGTATCACCAGTTGCCTACCAGGGTGTCAGAAACTAGATGACCAAAAAGAAAGGAAAAAAGTGATAAAGTACAGGTAGTCCTTGACTTACAACAGTTCGCTTAGTGACTGAAGTTACAACAGCACTGAAAAAAGTGAGTTATGACCATTTTTTCACACTTATGACCATTGCAGCATCCCCAAGGTCACGTGATTTACATTCGGATGCTTTGCAACTGATTCATATTTATGATGGTCGCAATGGTTTGGGGTCATGTGATCCCCTTTTGCAACCTTCTGACAAGCACGGTCAATGGGGAAACCAGATTCACTTAAGAACTGTGCTACTAATTTAACAACTGCAGTGATTCACTTAACGAATGTGGCAAGATAAGTCATAAAGTGGGACAAAACTCTTTTAACTAATTTCTCACTTAGCAACATACATTTTGGGTTCAATTGTGGTTGTAGGTTGAGGACTATCTGTATACCCAATCCCCTTCTCTCCTGGTTGTCTCAAAGGAGCCTCTCCTCTTTCCGTCTCTCTTTCTCTATCCCTTTCTCTTTCCCCATTGTCTTTTTTTCCTCTCCCTTTCCTGCCAAAATCTCCTTCTTTTATATCCTCTTCTCCCTCTCCCTCCTTTTCCGTTTCTCTTCGGTGCAGCTCCAGCAGACTCCTCTCCCCAGGGCTGCGCGCTGCTCCTGGAAGCGCCAATCAGCTGGAGCACTGTGCCAATCCTGGGTGCTCAGCAGAGCCTCGGCAACATTGCAGCTCCAGTTGACTCTCCCACAGGCCTGTGCAGGGCTGCCACCGCTTCAACTCATTCCCCCGCTACACTTTTACACTTTTTAAATACTTTTTTTTAAACAGTGCTTTTCAACCCTTCGCACGAGTACCACCTGCGAGATGCCAAAGTACCACCAGTGATACGTGTTCCATGGGTTGAGAAGCACTGTTTTAGATCACTGATCTAGAAATCATAATCAGGTCTTGTATTAATGAATTATATATGTGGATGGATTTCTTATTGTTTTACATGAGATACATTTGCCCTTTTGGACTCCATGGAATCCTCTGGGATGGGCTGCCAAATCAATTGGTGTCTTCACACTCCTGTGATAAGTAGGGAAGCCCTGATTACAAGAAAGAAAAGTATCTACTGTGGTTCAAAATACCGAGTACACAGAATTCTTGATCCTATCAAGGCATCGTCAGAACCAGCCTCCCCACGAGGGGCACTATAGAGAGGGAAGAAGTGAGGGACTTGAGCAGGTATCTTTTCTGCCTCTCTACTGCCACTATCTGTGTGCTCAGTCTGCCTCTCCTCAACAAACTGATGACCTGATCCACAGTAGTTCAGCCAAAATTGAGCAACTTGTAGTTTAGGAAAAAATCTATCTATTTATTGAGTGGTTTCCAGAAAGAAAGCAGAAGAGTAATCTTGGGTTGCAGTTGACTCAAGGGCTGTGTTACTGAGCAACAGACAGCTGCTAGTACTTCTACTGTAGGGTATGCACTGGAGGGAGAAAATTCACTGCCTGAATTGGCAGAGTTGGTAAAAATAGCCCTAATCATTCCTGTAACATTTTGTATATCTGAAGGGTCATTCGCTTGCCTCTGAGGCACAAAGATCTTTCTGCAGTCAAGCATGGGCAAGATGGACAGTCAAACGCAGGCCTCTTCCCTGTAGGCATAAATAGATTTCAAAAGTGACTGATCTCCGTTTCATAGTCGACACATTCATCCAAAGAGCTCCAATTCAACAAAGCACATTCAGCATGTCTGAATAAGCCTAGGTTTCACTCTGGCACTGGTATAGATGATCATGAAAAATGATGTGAGTGTTTAAAATTTTATCACATTTCTATGCCACCCAGCTCACCTAAGTGACTCTAGATGGTTTAAAATAATAATAATAAAAAGTATGTTACAAGATCAGAATACCTTTCATGTCCCAGGTTCATACTTAAGTCATGGTTTCCATTTTAGCTTTTGCTTCCCTTTGACTTCCTTAAGGTGCTGTGTTTTCACTTGCTGTATGAAGAATATTTGGGGATATCTATCACTTATCTGTGGGCCGTCAAGCTCCCAGGAAAATTGACCAGTTAAAGTCCATAGGTATACCATATTCCAAAATCTAAAATCCCTATTCTGAAGTTCTAAAAGAGAGAGAAAGGGCAGAAACCTTTGCATAGTTAAGAAAAGGGGCTGGCTGTTTATAATCCTATGCCCACAAAACAGATGTTAAGGTTGAAACCTATGAGGTGAAGGACAGCATTGGATGGACAAATACTGCAAATACTGGGGTGGGGTGGGGGAGACCATCTGACCTCTTCCATTTTTTTTTCTGGTCCTTTTTTTTGACAGAAGGCGAAGTTGCTGTTTTCTTTACGAAGCTGAATTGACTTCACTCAGTCATTGTCTCCAGATTAATTTTGCATTATTTTTCTCCTGACAACAGTGCTAGGTTTGCTTCTTATGGAACTATTTTTCAATGCCCTTAGGGGTTTTTCCTCTTCTTTGGTTGTAATGTTCTTGGTTTGTTTGTTTTTTGGCATTAAAGCAATGTGCCCACCAAGCCTTTCCTGTATTCGCATTCACTCCACTTCATCATGAGCCACCTTTGTCTTTGCAGAATCTAGAGTGGGTGGCAAACCATTCCCCCCCCCCCCCACATTGCAAAATGGTTTTTCTGGAGGATTCTGGCACTTAGAAAAACTATTTTTCTACCTATTGGCCAGTAGTAAAGAAGCCACATTTAATATTGTGTCAGCCCCTAGCAAACAATTTAAGTAGTAGCAAAAGGATGATGGTATCACAGAAAATTTGTAGGTGAAGGCCACAAACTGGTTTTGAGAACATTTAATAAGATATCAGTCTGTTCAGATGAATGAAAGGTTCTCGTGTGTGATTTCATTCGGTATAAATGAGTATATTTCAACCAAACCAGGTGAAAGGAGACCTAAAGAAAAAAATAAATGTTAAGGAATTGAATAGCTTTTATACATGAATACTATTCCCCCTTTGCAGTCTTAAACATGGAAATATATTAATATTATTCATGCAGACTCGAAAACTGAAATGTCTCTGACTGAAATATATTTAATACATGGTTTTTTAAAAAGTCAACTGCAAATGATTTAATCAATAGGTTTCTTAAGCAATGTAGATACAAGTGTGCAAAGACTTACTTAAATGTTTCTTTGCAGTTTAAGCAGAGAAAGGGGGGGGGGACGACAAAGGATCGGAACAAGGGAATTTGTCTCCAGAAATGATCTCCACATGCCTTTTGCCTGAAGATATTTTTTGCTATCTTCACTAGGAATTATGGAAGTTGTGGACAAATATGTCTAGAGGGCATCTTTTTACATAATTTTCACAGCTCAATAGACCATACTTTGAGGGAATGCAAAAGGTCTCTGTTTTAATCACTGACATTTCCAGTTCACAGAAACATTAGGAAAGACTTATTTGAGACTTTGAAAGCAGACCAGTGACTTTCCAGACGATCTTCTGGTTCTATGTTCCAATAATTCATTCACCAGGATATCTGTGTTCACAGAACAATAACTTAAGAGGAGATACATATGGAAAGTTAGGCAAGAATTTGCCTTTCTTAGAACAGAATAACAGACATCATATCTAGCAAATAGAATGAAGTCTAGGGCCGTCTACTGCAATAGAGCATTCCTGTAAATTTTGCTCTAACTGTCCTGAGAAAATAGCATGGCAGCTATTTCCAGGTTTCCCAAGCTGGGTCCAACTACAGCAGAAGACAGGATGTCTTGATGAACTAATGAGGAAGCCCAACTGCAGGTCACTATCTTATCTAAATTGTCCATTTAATAATAGCATTCGAAAATTAGCTTTTTTCATCCTGGGATTGCATAGCAAATAACTCTGCAAGTAATCATATGCATAGGGAAAGAATTCCCTGATGCCACAAAGTTGGCTTCAACCTATATCG